CTTCAGAAAAGTTTACGTGGTATTTTCTTTTCATCTCGTCTCTGTATACTTCTTATTAAAGTAGTGTTTCAGCGCAGAGCTGCTGTGTTTACAGCGGTAACCAAGGAAACGCTGTATCTGCTGTTCCATGAGCGCCTCCTGCTGTCAGAGAGTGAATCTGCATCTCATTCAGAGCTTCTGCTGTTTGCTTCGTTCAGGCATGTAGTATAATTTCACAAAGCTAGTCAGAACATTCTGTTTTTGCTTCAAATTGGGTTATTATTAAATAAAATTATGTATATGAAATTATATAACTAAATGATATGAAATGATATAAATGATATGTATATGAATTTATAAATGAAATGAAAATATAACTAAATTTAAATAACTGTAATTACAGATTTAGGTTAAATAAAGATGTCAGTCTTTATTTTTCTTCTTTTTAGGAAACAAATCAAAGAAAAAATAAACAAATTCTACTGTTCCTAATATTCTGTATGTTGCTCAAAAACAAAATATATTGTGTTCAGCAGGAAAAAAGTTTTATTTTTTTTACCCAGTCATTTAAAAAATAACTAATTTTAGAGCTGTAACGACAATACCGTGATATTTTTGCTTAAGGTTATCATACCGTCAAAATCTCATACCGGCCCATGCCTAGTTAGTGGTAACAGTTGTGGTTCATTTTGAGTTTAAATGTGTGTTAGTTTTCTCATATTTTTTTACTACTTTGACACATGATTATTTTCAAGCATTTCCAAACACGCTAGTTTTTTTCTCATTGACAGCGTACTCAGCTCAATCATAATGTGGAAGCACTGCCTCCTCTCACATGAATTTTCATAACAGTATAAACTATGCTTTAGGATCTCTGTGAGAAAACAGTGAGATGAAGCTGAAATAGATGGTGCTTCCTCTGAAACAGCTTGCTTTGTTTGATACTGTTATTCTAGAAAAAAAGTGCTTTACACACTATTTTAATTTCAAATTTTGTTATATGTTTTTTATGTTTTTGCTCTGTTGATTATTTTCCCATCCATATTTTAAGGAGGCACAATATGGAGATAAAATTATGCCTAAAAGAATCACATGCGCAGTGTAAGATTTGTGAAAGTGTACATAAGATAGCAAGCGTAAATTAGTTTAGTATGCGCAAGAAAAGATTTGTAAAAGTGTAAATCGTGTTTCAAGTGTAAGAAAAAAAGATTTGCAGCCTTTTACTGTTTTTTGTAAATGTAATTCATGTATTGTGAAACTGCAACTTCATGCTAAGGCAAAATAAATATGATCTGCGTTCTTCTGACTTCCACTTGTATTTGGGCGAAACAACGTGCCAAAAGTGTAAGCGCGGAAAAACGGAAGTCAGAAGAAAACAGATCATATTTATTTTGCCTTAGCATGAAGTTGCAGTTTCACAATACATGAATTACACTTACAAAAAACAGTAAAAGGCTGCAAATCTTTTCTTGCGCATGCTAAATTAATTTACGCTTGCTATCTTATGTACACTTTCACAAATCTTAACCTGCGCATGCAAATCTTTTAGGCATCATTTTATCTCCATACACAACCTCCATTGCCTCCTCAAGAGAAAACAGCTCATATTATTTTTCTTTGTTTTCCTCTCTGCTGTACTACAAAGTATGAAAACTATAAGAATAATTTAGAAAAGAGTTGTAAATGAACAATATCAAGAATTTACTCACCAGAGACAGTAACATTGAATTGCTTGTGTGACGACTTTTTAGAAGAGCTGTCGATGATCTGTAGTTTATAAAGTCCAGTGAGTTCAGAGCTGATGTTGATGATGGTGAGAGATCCGTTCTGACTGTCTATCTTCAGTCTGCCTCTGAGTCTCTCATCAGTAATCTCACATGATGGAGTGCCATCTGTGTTTCCCCTACATTTAGCTATATTCCTGTTCTCAAACATCCAGCTGATCTGATGATATTCTTCTACACCGCTGTGTAGGGTTACAGACTGTCCCACCGCTGTCTTCACTTCTTCTGTCTTCATTTCATCTGTCTCAGCACCAAACACACCTGGAAAACACAATCAATAAAAGCTGACATTAAATACCCAGTTACCCATGTTTTACATTAGCAAACTAGAAACTGTATGCACTTATAAATGTAAGCACTTTCAGTTTCTTCACGGAGTGAAACAGTTTATTTTAGCATAGAAGAGTGGTGCATGTTGATGACCAGTTTGATATTGTAATATTCTTCTTGACAGGCTTAAAGACGTCACATAACCAAACACACACCCGTGGAGCCTGCATCTGCATCTGTGTGTGTGTACCATGAGCACTCTGACTGACCTGAGAAACATTTTCCTTAAGTAGCTTATTTATTTCAGCAGTTATTGTCATGTATTTCTGTCAGCTGCACCAGCCATGCCATGAATTATGAATTAATCATTATTTTAAACCTTTATTTTTCCTGGACTGGCCAAACAGATTTGCAAAATGGTCTGAATTTGCATTTGTTGAGACCACTCTCTGAATCATCTGAAGCGGTTCTCAGTCAGTAAAGCAAACCGTACAGAGATACTTAAGAACAGAGAAAACAAACAGATGAAGTGGATTCACCAACAAACAGTTGAAACAAAAGGCTATTTTTTCACACCATATGTGGTATATATAATATATATTCTCCAAATCTCTTTGGATTTCCATTCCTCAAAAATAAAAAAACTTTGTCTTTCTCTATTTATTCCTTCCCTTTCTAGCTTGTACTGATTTAAACAATGCCTGAAGCTTGGTATTGCGAGCACTTCCTGTGTCTGTTTGCCTCTTTAAGATGAATCACTTTATGTATTCCCCAATTGTAAGTCGCTTTGGATAAAAGTGTCTGCAAAATGACTAAATGTTAATGCAAAAAAAAAAAACAGACTTTCTGCCAAACTTTATTATTCCAAACTGGAGTGTTGTGAGGCTTGAAGTTATGCTTGGAAATAAATAGTTTCCAAAAAAGCACCCTCCCCCTTCATATTTTTAAATCATGCCATCCTTTCTTATGTACTGATAATGAAAATTCATCTTATTTTATGCTTTAATCATTTATGTTGTTATGGGTAAGAAGCAGGCTGGGTAGATGAGTCTGGACAAACTATCCATTTAAGACAAAATAAGATTGTAGGATCCCTCTGCAGACATCTATTTAATACTGATTTACATTTATCTATGTTATTCCATATATTGTTATTCTACATTATTTCTCTATCTTTAGAAATAACAATCCTTAAATACAATCACAACTTCCTTCTTAATTTTAATATTTAATAATGATTGCAAAGGAAAGTCATGTAAAGTTACTATTTCACATTTTTAAGATTCAAATACAGCCCTGAAGCTTTAGAAAACAGATTAACAGAATGTAAAGCAGAATGTTCTCTTTTATTACACAAAACAATTTCCATTGTGTGGTCTTGCACCATTTCCGTTGTCTTATCTTTATTTTCAACAGTGGGCAATGAATCTTTACCTTGGGGTATAGTTCTAGTTTGGCAGGTTTAATCAGTTTTTGTAATTAAAACAGTGGGAATTACTCACTTCAAACAAACTTTTAGGAACTGAGCTTTGAAAAAACACGGCTGCTCAACCCGCCATCTTCGCACCACCCTTTCCTTAGGCATTTACTCACATGTGTACTCTAACAAAAAACTGCTTATTGAGGATGTGCAAAAAATAAATAAATAAATATATATATATATATACATTTTTATTTTTTTAAACAGAATGGAAGATATACTACATGTTAGCTTGCTTATTGTGCATTATGCCCATTAAGTCCATATCTCTCACTAACAAGAAACTATGCTTCTACCCACAGGTGAAATTCAGAAAAATGTTCAATAATATTAATATAGCTGCCCGTCAAATAATGGTTAGGGTTTGATCATAATATGTGTGGTGTAAGTGTGGACTCATATTCAACATTTAAATGTGGATGAATCACATGTTACAGGGTGGGACTAGATATCCTCCACAACTGACTGCAAGCTGGCATTTAGATCTGCCTCCCTTTAGTTAGAAACAATCAACTTCAACCCAGTCAGTTCCTGAAGATGAAATCAAGTCCCACCCTACATTTTTTTCCTCACCCCTGAAGCCTTTTTACGCAGATATACATCACAATAGAGAAGAGAAGGCTATCACAACTAAATGTGACATGATTTGCACAAGCCTCTCCTACAGCTATAACATTTAAAAATATAAAAACTGTGAAGTCAGTAAAAGAGGGACACTTTTTTGGAAAACTCTATTAAACACTAATAAATGTATTCTACCAACACTATGTTTTAAACAAATGCTCAGGTCTCTTGTATCTCCTACTGATTTTTAAAGGTATATATTTTTTTCTATTTTAATAATTAATTTATTAATTTATTTTAATATACAGAGATTAAAAAAATGTTAATTGCCCATTTTTATTCTTCAAGTTTTATCCAATAATTTAGGATAAATTGGTAAAATGGGAAACGTTTTTATCTAGTTTGTGCTTAGATAATACGGTTTTTACAACAGGACATTTTACAATTTTGTTTTTCAAAACATTCAAAATTTTAAAGAATAACTTAATAAAAAAATAGATATAGAGAATTTTATTTCTTACATCTTCTGTAAAACAAAACAGTTAAATTGGGACAATAACAAAAGTTTATTTTTGAAATAGAATATATATATATAAATATATATATTTTTTAATAGAACTACAAAACTTGCTCATCATTGTATAATATTGAATGATCTCATGAATTGATAGGCTAATATAAATTTATAGATTGAAATATTGTTTGTATTAGAATTTAAACCTTAACCATTTTAATAGACTTAACTTAATTAATTAATTAAACATAAACTTATTAACCTTATTAATAAATAATTAATAAAAACACTGTAACAATCCACATCTCTACGGTTTAAATATATATATATATATATATGTATATTATATATACGTCCAACTTATTCGCTCATATTCGCGAACACCATCCCTCCGTGCAGATAAAGGTGTGTCGCATTTATAACAAGTTATAAATTAAGGCAGTATGATTTCCGTGATACAGAGGAAATCTCGGAGCAGTCGTGAAGATGAAATTTACAGTATAATGAGGATGTCACGTAAAACGCGCAATCTGATAAATGGATAAATTCGCATTTGATAACATTAGAAAACATTAATTAAAATGTTAAGGTGTTATGCATTCATTTAATTACCTCTGTTTTTGACAATATATTCGTATTAAATCATAAAACATAGAATCCATTAGAAAAAAAATTATTATGATAATGATATGATTTCATAGGTCTTCATTATTCTTAAAACTTGAATAAATTATTAATAATTAAAAATATGGTAAAGTTTTTTTGAATTCAGTTGATTAAACATGTTTTTGGATATTAAAATGTGAATAAACCATTAAAACAAAATACAAAAATTTTATAAAATTTTAATGAAAAATAAACCATTTTATAGGGCTCTTGTTAATAACTTTAATACCTAAAAAATTTCACTCTGTTTGCCCCCATCTAAATTCTATTCTGCATCCTTGTTGTTTGCTACACAGTTACAGTATGTGTTGTTACATTCAGTTTTTTTCATGATTGTAATTTGGTTTATCATAATTCTAGTCATTCTTTAGGGTCAGGCTGCCTCCGCAAAGACACTTCCTGATCCAGCTCAACCAACTGTCTCAGAGTCACTTGCAAAAGGAATTAAGTTAGATCTCACATCCAAACAAGTCAAAGAACTGAATCATGCTGTAGCATATTAAAGACATGATGCCCTTTCGAGTAGTGGAAAAACCTGTTTTTCTCCACAGTCCCAGTGTACAAGGTACCATCAAAAACGTACTTTTCTACCAATGAGATCCCTCGCATGTACAAAGACGTCAGAGCCAGTGTTGAAGAACAGCTGAAGGACGCTGTGTGGTTTTCAGCCGCCACAGACCTGTGGACCAGCAGTAGTAGAGAAGGGGAACCATTTATAAGTTTTACAGTTCACTACCTCTCCTCAGATTGGGAGTTTAAGTGCCATTGTTTGGAGTCTCATTTTTTTCCTGAAGACCACACCTCAGAAAACATCTCAGAAATGTTTGAAAACATGCTCCAGGATTGGAAGCTTTTAAATGACACTCTGTGTGGAATTACCACAGACAACAAATGCAACAAATATGAAGAAGGCCTTTTCAGACTTCCCTTGTGTTTGGCTCACTTGTTTAGGCCACAATTTAAATCTGGCCATTAGCAAAGCCTTGAAGAAACAAGGGGTGGAATCTACTGTCAGATCATGTCGACACTTGATTCAAGGATTTTCTCTGAGTTGGAAAAGGAAAAGAGAATTAAAAAAACACAAAAAAAACAGGCAGACCTGGAACGCCCTGAGCATGCCCTCATCCATGATGTGATAACAAGATGTGGATCAACTTTTGAGTTTCTTTAGTTTCTTGAGCAGTACTCCTGCTAGTGACAGGAGTACTTGGCATCTCATGCCAAAATACAGTGACATTGCCATACATGAGAATGTCAAGCAGGTCCTTCAACCGCTCAGTGACCTTACTGATGCCCTGGCCTCAGCTAACGGGTCACACTGTCTTCACTCACACCTGTACTGGAGCACATAGGCAGTGAAATCCTCACTGAGCAAGCTGAAGACAACCAACTCATCAGACAAAAGAAGCAAGCAATGAGAGAAGACTTGCTAGAAGTGAGATACACAGAGCGAGTGGAACGAGTGCTACAGATTTCCAGCTTTGTGGATGCCACTAAAGGAAGCAAAAAGGTCTGTCTGGTTTGCTAAAGCAAATTACTTCATCTAGGCAGAACAAGGTAGCCTCAAGAAATGATCATGTCAGTGGTAAGGTGCTGTCTGAAATGAGAATTTACAAGTCTTATCCTACCATCGGCACTGACACTGACCCTCTGGCTAAGTGGAAAATGCGTGCTGCAGAAAACCCTCTCCTGACTGTGGACAGAGGAAGTATCTCTGCATTCCTGCCACAAGTGTGCCTTTGGAGAGGATGTTCAGTACAAGTGCATTCTCTCACCTCAGCAGTCAAGATTGAGTCCTGAAAAAAAGAAACAAAGAAATACATGCTGCCGAAAAACAGTAACAAACATGGTTTTGCACTTTTTGCTCTCCTATTTATGCTGTTTAAAAGGAAGGACAGTTTGGTTTATTTTTGTCTAATCTAATTTACTTCTTTTCCCTTCTAATTTTATTTTTATTTTTGAAATGTTCTAATTCTGAATTTTCTATAGATTTTTTTAAATGGGGGATGTATAGCTTTATTTTTTAAATTGTTTTTTAATTAATTCCTTTTTTTTTCAGAAGGGAGACTTCAATACTTTAATTAAAATGGTTTAAAATTTGTTGTAATAAAGGATTTGTTCACTCAAAAAACTTGTTCTTATTCTTGGGTCATTGTTATTGATAAGAATTATTGTTTAATATACTGTATACCGTATACATTTTTGTAAATATTTTATTATATCTTTTCATGTGACAACACTGAAGAAATGACACTTTGCTACAATGTAAAGTAGTGAGTGACATTTTCACTCAGGGGTGTACTCACTTTTGTTGCCAGCTGTTTAGACATTAATGGCTGTGTGTTGAGTTATTTTGAGGGGACAGCAAATTTACACTATTATACAAGCTGTACACTCACTACTTTACATTGTAGCAAAGTGTCATTTCTTCAGTGCTGTCACATGAAAAATATATAAAATATTTACAAAAATGTGAGGGGTGTACTCACTTCTGTGAGATACTGTAATATTAACAGACTTACGTTTTAGACACCATATCGCCTGTTTTTGCTCTATTTCGCCAATGAAATTATTATGAAATAAGTATATTATAGGCCTACATTTATATACATATATGGACTATATTCAAAACTTTCAAGCTGCTGTTGTTGCAGAAGCAGAAGCTTTATACTATTTAAGGTTTGGAACATCAGATCTTCATTTCTGACATGCTGTTTAAGATTGTGTAAATGTGACCAAAAAGATCCATGATTTTGGTTTTGGGTAAGCTTGTATGAAAATAAAATATAATCATTTTACAAACATGGTAATTGATTGCATACGGTGTGAAAATAACATCATTTTTGAACAGTGTTATTAACAAAACATCACAAAATGCTAATAAAATAATAATATTTATAATTTAACATTTATTGTGTATGTTGTTGAATACATTGCATTGATTCAACCAACAGATATTGTTAAAATTGTTAAAACTGTTTTTTAAGTGTTTTTAAACTATTGTTTCAATGTTGAATGAAGGTAGGTCATGTGTGATTCTGCTTGATTTCCGCTGCTTTAAACAGGCTATTATTTCTCTGTCTATCCTTACAAGGAGGATAAAGTGGAAGTGACGGCGGCCCGTTACTGCTGTGTTTCATAGGTGTTTCACAGCGGATTGGACGCCGGCTGTCTGCGTGGCTGCTGTACAGCTGATTCACATCGCACCTGTCAGACTAGTTCTTATGCTTAAAACCATAGTGTATCCATGACAACCAGAGCTCAGGCTCGTGCCTTCACACCCAGTCTAATAACCGGCAAAAACTCTTTGCTTGTTTTTCGCAGTTAAGTCAATGACTTCTCAAACATTTAGACACTTAAGCAGTACTGAAAAAGGTCTGAACGCAAGGCGATAACTGACGACAGAACACTAGACAAGAACTGGAGAAACGTTTACGTACCATTAGTGAGAAATATTCAAAGACAAAAGATCAACTCGCTTCGCATAGTGGTTTAAAGGTAACGATCTCCACCGCACAGAAGAGGATTTGTCTCATCAACTGAAACGGCAGCGTTGAGATTGAGAATGAACGGGATGAAACTGCGCATTACAGTGGATGACTGACTAGACTGACTAGACTTGCCTCTGGAAAGTTCAGTAACAAACCCCTCCTCCTCCGTTAGAAGTAGCGCTGAGCACTGAGCAAGTGGGAAACACAACATATATTTCATACATTACACAACATGTAACGGCCACCTAATTTGTTATGTACCTTTAAGGCATCTCTTGTGATGTCATGCGTTGTCTAGGTGGGTGTGCCTGGGTAACGTTTGCGCTGGTGATATAGCGGACTGTTCTACTCTGCTCCAGAAAGCATCCTGATTCTTTTATTATTTTTATTTGTAATTCTGCCAAAGTGTGTCTTGTAATCTTCCCCCCACTCTCCCCCATGTATGCGGAGAGTGCGAGGATAATTTGAAGCTACGTATAAAGACGTATGGGATCACCAACTCTCGTCTATGAGTATTATTTTCCTTCTTTTATTCCTGACATCTGGGCAAATCCTAAAACACTCTGGTCGACGTTACAAAGATTACATATCTCTTGCAAATTGCAAACACTTCTTTCTTTCAGAGTTTTTGCATAGTAATTTACACAATCATCAAATTATTAGCCACAGGGCCGTAGCTGGGGTTTGCGGGCCCCGGTGCAGGTTGTACCAGTGGGCCCTGTTTGAAATAGTTTAATTTGTATGTTCGTTCTGTTTGTTTATTTGTGCTATTTCCTCAATGTTTAAGTTTTTTTCAGGTTTGAAGGTGTCCAGGTACAGAAATCGAATAATCAAATGTAAAATAGCACTGCATAGTCTTCACTGTAAAAATTAAATATACAGTCAAACCAAAGTTTATTCAGACACCTCCCAGTGTTTTGTCACTGTTTTGGTTCAGTTCTGGCTAAAAAAAGATCTGGACCAGTTTTCAGCCGGCGAACACCACACTTTAGCTGTTGATATGATCCAGATCCGCGCCAAAGGAAATGTGCTGACTGTGTCGCTTCCGCTTGTCACGCCACATCAAAGAGCGTCAAAACGGCATTTATGGATTTAATTTCCTGATAAAATATACATAATTTTAAGGATGAGACTTTGTTTCTTATCGAAAAGATCAAAACACAAACCTTACGATTACAGAATGTAATGTATAGTAATAATGTATAGTGAAGATTTATTTACGGCTATGAACTGAAACGGATTAAGTTCCGCACGTGCAGTGGTTTAAAATGGCACTGTATTTGTTCGGTACAATTTTCGGTATGAATAAGTGTACAATTACACCCCTAGAAAACATTTAAAACACCAAAACTGCACTTACCTGAATAAGAATGTGTCTGGGCAAAGGATGTTGTTGTAAATAGGGAGCTTTTTCATCATCTTCTTTTTTAACGGCGATTGAAAGGGGAAGCAGAGCAGGAAATAACGGATATATCTTCAAAATTTCAGTAATCCACCAATAGGAATAAGGGAAGACACAAAGTAACCAATAGCATTGTTGAATGGGCTGAGATGTGGACTGCCACTGACCTGCCAGCAGTTTATATGTGTTTTTCCAAATAAAAGCCAAATGTTAACCATAAGTTAACATATTCCATGGTGTGCCATAGCCAAGCCACATATGGCTCTCAGTTGTGTGCTATCATCTGGGCCATATACCTCAAAAAATTGTCATCCAATTCTAAATCCATGGCAAAACATATACGGTTAAAGTTTGGCCCATATGTGCTCAGCCATGCCATACCTAGGCCAAATGTGACAGCTATCAGCCACATTTGGCCCAAACGTTCTTGCTATCTGGGCTTCAACATTTCTCACATTATCACAGTTTATTTGCTCTAGTTTAGAAAATGGTAATACAATATGACAAGAAAGCACAGTTATACTGTGTCAGAACAAATTCATCTTGATAGTGTCAGATAACTTTGATAGAAAGGTATGTAATGGATTATAATCAACCAAAAATTATTCCGACAACTGTTAGTATGACAACGTTTACACAGCTATCAATACTTTATTGACCAATTACCAAGCAATGCTTAATTTTGTTCAGTCTGTGGTGTAAAAAGGGTCCCATTAGCAATTAAAGAAAAAACACTTAAGCAAAACATGGTCAGGTCAAAGTGTCTGAATAATTTTTGGTCCTGTTGATCGTGTGTTGCTAGGGAAACGGCATATCACTCTTTCGTGTGCGCGTGTATAGGTCTTTCCCTGTGTTTCTCTTTGTCTCTCCCTCTTTCGCGCTAATTGATTACAGGTGGAGCTGATTAGGAGGACTGAATTGGTTGGAGACAGGAAGGATTGCCGCAGTACTTAAGTCATCCGGTGGAAGGAATCGTTGGCTCCCCGCTCTCTTGGTGGCTACTGTTGCACCCGCTGTGTGACGTGTGTTGGCGAAAGGATCGCGAATTTAGACATTTGTTGTCAATCATTGAATTATGTAACTGTTTAGTTGTATTCGATATCTGTTACGTCTGGTCGCTTACGTCCTGGACCTTGTTAGGTGGCGCTTGGTAGGTGCCTGTTTGTTTTGTTCGTTTTACCCTGTTTATGTTAGCAGGGAGGTAAGAACTTGTATTTTATTTGTTATCTGATTTCTAGGTTAGTTTGTTTAGTAGTAGTTTTGTTTATTGTAATTTACTTTGGCAAATTGCCCCTCCTGAAGTTTATGATGCTCCTTTTTGTTTCTTCTTTTTAAGTGTTTTGTGGTTGACCAATTTAAAGAATGAGAGCGGGGACCCCAGGGATCTTTCCTAGATGGATAACTGTTATGGACCAGTTTATTTCTCTGAGTAGGGATTTAACTCCGTTCGTAACAAATGGGGGCTCGTCTGGGATCTGAACCCGGGACCTCTCAAGGGATTTAACTTACTATTCGTAACCGGTTCCAATTGTGTTTAATCAATTTTCTGGTAGTCCACACTATGAAGAATTTCTGGGGTATAATTAGTCAGTTTACTTTTATTTTGCTATCCTCGCTTGCATAAATGAACTATAGTGTCCTGCACCCATTAGTAAAAAAACATCAAATTATATCTGGTCTCTGAATAATTTTTGGGGACTGGCTCCAGAATCAAATCACTGAGGGTGCTTCTTAAATTAGTGAGGGTGCTGTAACTATATGTATGTGTATATACACTGCCGTTCAAAA